CTGTGTTGTTTGTGGGTGTTATCTTAGAACCACATCAGTTTGAAATGCCATGTGATGTGGTGAATATGACTACATTGAAGGATGATTGCTGTGAATTTCATGTTTTGTATGACATTATTGTTCGCAATCTTTTCAGAGTTATAGCATTATACATTTAGCAAAGCTTTAGAGTGTAGCATTTATTTTTATTACGGAACTGTGTAGTGTTAAATAAAGAGAACTTCGAATCCTGCATTTGGCATTTTTCTCTTCTTTTAGTACAACATTACAAAACTCTTATGATAAGCTACATATTTTTAATATCTGTTTGTTGGGGCCTAAAAATTGATAAGTTGTAGAAAGATCTTACTACAAAGTATTGGTTTTTTGACTTCCAACTTAAAGGTGATTCTGAGTTGCAATCAGCAAGTTTTTGTTTCCAAGAAAATGTATCGTCTAATATTCTGTGGCCATGTGCTTGTGCAATGGGGATTCTGTTATTGCTCTGTATTTACTTGTATGTCTCCCAAAAAAATTTACCAACAACCTAATCTTAAAGGTGCAAAAAAAATCAAATTTTCCTGTAAATTTTCTTTTCCTTTGTTTTCATTTTTTTTACTCTTCGAATGTTAAATGCCATCCACTTCTTTTCATTTTTTTCCTTTTATTGTGTAAACTGTATTGGACTCATGATCTGGTAATTAAAAGCTTTACTTCCTATCTAGGAATGTTGAGATATGAAGAGGATAATTCTGAACATGTGCTACAATATGAATTAGGTATTAAATGCCCCTTTAAGAACACTTTAAATTTATAGGTGTGCTGCTTTTTATCCCGATTTCTAAGATAGGAGAAATTATATTTTTGGATAGCTATCATTTCAATTTCAAATAGAGGGCTTACATAGAAATGCTATGATATAGGGGAAAACGCTTAAGAAATTTCTTTAGAAAACATAGAGCAAACTTGCTGGCCCTGAGAAATAAAAATACTTTGACTTTCCCAGGATCATACCATACATGATAAATCTCGTATCAAAATGTTGAACTATCATCATTATGCTGACCATCATGAGTAGCCTTATTCTGGATATTTGGGTTTTCCTTTTCCCATTCTTTCCTATTGAGAGTTAGAGGTATTGAATTTATTTATGCATGATTTTACATAATTTCATGCCATGTTACCTTTGATCAACACCGTTTCCTTTGTAATCTTGTTAAATTAGTTCTATCTACTCATCATTGTTCATCTTCCTACTATATGATATATTACATTGTAAGTTGATACTACAACTAGGACCAAATAGCACTTATGCATGATAGCATTCTCAGACTTGTAGTGATCATATTGTTGAATAGTGTTCCCGCCCTTGAAACTGCTTGAGTGACCCATGGTTGCAATGCAATTGACTTCCTAATAAACTTGCAACAATAAATTAATGCACCTGAAAATATTAACGGGTCTCCAAGACCACAATATTGTCAGATCTAAGTAAAAAAATTTGCAAACCGGAGACAAGTAAAGAATGGATAGTCAGAATTTTTAACAAACTTAGACAACATCAAGAACTCTCTTCTGCTAATATTTTGAAATCCTTATTAAAGAAGGTTGCTGTGATTTTTTCCATGATTGTTATCTCCCTTTAATTGCTTTCTTGACTCGTGATAATGTCATGGATGCTGTCCATATCCTTTTCTTCTTCCAGCAGTTCAAGATTTCCATTCCTTACGAGTCTATGCAATGATTTCTTGATCCTAACATGTAAATGACCAATTCCAAGGTTTAATGATTGATTTCAGTCAACCCTGCTAGTAAATAAGAATAACGTTAGGTAGATCACTACCCATTTGGGGGCGCGGTTCACCCGTGGCGCGTTCTGCTGCCGCCATACGGAAGTGTTTGGTTCAGAGTTTTGGGGGCGGTGGGAAGCTTTTTAATAACACACGGTCTGCGGGTTTGACCCCCAGCAGTTCGCGCCTCTTCGCCTTATTTTGTCAAAGTTCTCCTCTTCTGCCCTATCTGTTCCGCGGAACGCTCTCGCATTCCTCTTTTGCCCTAAGCGGTACAGAGGTGCTTCTTCCTAACCGTCCCGCTCTCGCATTCTTCTTCCCTAACCGTCCCTCTCTCACATTCTTTTCGGACCTCTGTGCTTCTTCCTCCGGTATCCTCAAGAGCTGATTTTATTGAAATAGAAAATGATACATAAAAGGTTATATAAGAAGAGCCCAAAAGAGGCACCCTACCATACGATACAAGTACAGTAATACCCCAACAAAAAGATACAGGTAGACTCAATAAAATTTAAAACAAATTTAAAACATGTAGAAAAAAAAGTAGCTAGGGACGAACCAGTTTAGTCCTGCCCTTTCCTCTAGTTTTAGGAGCGGAACCAGATAATAAACTTTGAAGAGCTAGGTCATTTCCAGGAGTCACCAAAGTATCATCCATTAAATTTCCAAGTTGAAAAGTAGCTAGGGACGAACCAATTTAGTCCTGCCCTTTCCTCTAGTTTTAGGAGCGGAACCAGATAATAAACTTTGAAGAGCTAGGTCATTTCCAGGAGTCACCAAAGTATCATCCATTAAATTTCCAAGTTGGAGTGAGCCCCTAGCCTTCTTCCGCCGAGATTTGAATAGAACCTGTGGGACTATTCTGATTTTTAGTTCAAACATTATCTGTTGTAGTATGGTCAGGAGAAGGGATCTCAGGGGCAGACATCAACTCCTATTTTGTGGTGATTCCCTCCTTAGGTTGGCTTTCATCAGGTTTGCTGGGAGTGTGTTCAGGCACATGGGGTGCACTAATAGTGTGTTCTTGCTTTTGACTATTGGTTCTCAACTGTGGGTGCAATTTGAAACATTTCTCCTGCGAGTGTCCAAACATCTTGCAGTGCTTGCAGTAATATGATTTTTGTTCCATAATAATTTTTTGCCAATAACCATCGTGAGCAGATCCAAGTCAGACTTCTTATACATCTGGTAGTATAATATCTCGTTCAATCGAAATCCTTGCAATAGAGGGCCTATAGAAATGAACTATAGGTAAGTCTACCTGGAAAAGTTTTTCAAGGATAGTCCCAATTGCATATAAGATAGGTAGGTCAAAGAAATGAAGCTCGAGTTCAGGTAATGAGAACCAGACAGGTGCAATTGGGGGTTCTTGACTGAGATCAAACTTAGGGGTCCATTTGAGCAATTTCATATGTTTGCCCTTAATTGTGATGAATTTTTTTAAGAAAATTCTCGTGTAATCATCTTCTGTGCTCAGCTGTATCATAACATGTTTTCCTTCGAAATGACCCACCTGCCAATCCCCAACCAGTTTGAAATCTTTAAAAACCTTCATGATGATCTCCATCTTAGGGCAACCTAATTTGAACTTTCAAACTAGTGTAAATTTATATTTTCCTGCACGAGTTGAAATTTCAACGTCAGAAAAAAAATTATTACTTTGCCCGTCTTTTTCTCTACTTTTTTAATGAGGTTGCAATCGCCATTTCCTGCAACAGAATCATGGTAAATCTATGAGAATACTGCACTATCTGCGAGGTGAACCACTGTAGCATAGGAGGGTTTGGCGGGGTTATCTCCGGTGAGGGCGGCGGCGTAGGAAAGCTGCATGGGCGTCCGACGGCTCTGTTGCAAACGACAGAGGCAGAGCTGAGCAGACCTGACAGCACTGTTGCAAAGAAGACGTGGCAGGGTGTTGAGCGGTCGAGCGGCTCTGTGGCAGATGAGACGCAGCAAGGTCGATCGGCTCTGTCCCAGACTAGATGCAGGCTTGAGCGGCTCTGTCGCAGATGCAGGCTCGGAGACGACTGCAATAACCGTCAGACTAGACGGGAAAGCAAACGCGAGACGACTCGAGGAAGCAGAGGGCGCGAGAAGAAGCGATGTGAGTAAATCCCGAAGCTGACTAGACGTGAAAGCAAACGCGAGACGACTCGAGGAAGCAGAGGACGCGAGAAGAAGCGATGTGAGTAAATCCCGAAGCTGAAAGACGCTAGGGTTCGCCATGGGGCGGAACCCTAGCAGAGCGGAACGACGACATGTTTCACATATATATATACGTGTGTATATATATATATATATATATATATATGTGTATAAAAAACAAAAACTCAAGGGCTAATATATTAAAGTGAAAAAGATATAGAAATGTTGTATGAGAGGGCATACAAGAAAACCCAACTCACACAATACAACACACACAAATCCCAAATAAATAAAAAATACATAAATGTTAAAAACCAAAAAGCCATCAAAGGGCGCAAAAGTGCTAGGAACGTGCTATTTTAGTCCTCCCTTTGCCTCTAGTTTTCAGAATTGAGTCGACTAACAAATTAATAAAGTGAGTATGATTGCCCGAAGTGACCAAAGTATCATCCATCAGATTCTTGAGCTCAAGAGGTCTCCATTTTTCTTCTTCCTCTTGGATGTGTAGATCTGTCATTTCTTATCCGATGATTGACTCATCTGATCAATAGATTGTTCTAAAATTGGCCGGACAGGTGTAGGCTGTTGCACATAATGATCCCTATGAGCCTGGGCAGATTTTTCCCTGAGTAGCTTTTACAGCTTGCTCGACCTGATAAGGCGGTAGTGAAGCAGGAGAAGGATTGCCCCCTTAGAAGTATTGCCA